GGCAGAAGCATCTGGGCCCAGGAGAGGATACCTTCTATGAAGACGGCACTGAAGAGCCAGACAAGCAAGGGAAGCTGCCTGAGAGCCTGAGTGGGTCATCGGGGTCCACAGTAGACTGGACAGAACAGCTGCCAGGGCATGTCTCTGCCCCCCCCACAGCAACAAGAACCAACATCTATCTCAATGGATTCAAGAATAAGCAGGCCTCAGGCCACCCATCTAGTTTGTCTCTGAAAAACCTAAGTCTAACAGACTCCAACATAGAAGTGCCTCTGAGAGATCATATAAATCAGACAAGACCTACACAATGCCATTGTTCAGGGACAGAGGTGAACTAGAAGCAAAGAGGGTGATAAATGGCAAAAAGGGCTTCAGCGTCAAGATATGGAAAATTCTGGGGCGGGGCTGGAAAGATGGCTCAGAAGTAGTGCTGGCTGCTCTTGCAGTAGGACTTGATTTCAATCCCTAGCACTGCATGGTGTCTTATAACCCTCTATAACTCCAGTCTCAAGAGGTCATCTTCTGACCTTCAATATACACAAATTGCAGATACACATGTATGCAGAACACACATTATATTAAACAAGTAAATGTGTAGGGCCCTGCATGCACCCCTGAGGCACCTTGAGCAAGCCTGAAGCTGTTGGCTGGAACGTCTTGCCCCAGAGTTGTTACTGGTACTCTTCCTGATTTGCTAACACACATCTGCTGGGGAGGAGCTAAGCCCAAGAACTTGCACGCTTGACTCTTTTGTTTTCCCCTGTGCAGTGAGTATATAAGCCCACTCCTTCTCAATAAACGGCATTTGCTGTTCCAGCATTCCTGTTGCATGAATGACCCGATGTCTTGTCTCTTACTTAAATCACCTAAGAGATCACCCTCAGAGGCCGGCCAGCAAAGTAAGTGAATGAGGGTGTATTGAAGGATGGGTGCTAGTACCGCCAAGGAAATTCTCAGTGGGCAATTAGTGACCCTACTGAAAAGACAGAGAACCAGGATTAAAACTAAGACAGCTAAAGAATCAATTGTCATATTAGAGAAACATAGTGCCTGGTTTATGCACTCTGGAGGCTTCAACATCCCTGATTGGGATCAGGTAAAAGGAGATCTCCAAAAGGCTTATAAAGAAGAGCCTGGTAATTTCCCTATTGCCATCTTTCCCCTTTGGTGTCTAAAGATGCGCTCCTGAGCAACAATGTTAAAGTAAAAGAACAAATGGCAGGGATGAAGTACAAGATTTAGAATCTGTGAAATAAGGGAACAAGAGGGATCCCAACTAGGAGTTATTAGTCCTACCGTAACTGATGAAGATACTTTGGAAGCAGAAACTGAACAATTAAAACAAAGAATTGTTGAAGCTGATGAGCGCAAATGACGTCCACCAAGGTACAACCCCTTTTCTTGTGATCCCTTTATGGAGCCTCTGTGCTTTAAGGGATAGAGCAGGAGGTCAAAGATTTAATAACCAAAGTAGAAGCCTTAGGAAAGGAAAAGCAAGCTTTTCCTGTGATTGAAACAGTGGATCCTAGGATAACAACCCACTAAATTTCAAGGATTTTAAACCAACTTAAGGAGATTGCCACTGCTTATCGGCCCCATGTTCTTTTCACTCAGGCAATTTCGAGTCTTTCACAGCATCCCTAGTGATTGGATGCAGCTCTGTAGAGCCAGAGTGGGGTCCAGGTGCTAGCCATTACCTTAGAAGGGCTCATGCTCACAGGTGTGACCCTTTTTCTTGACCACTAATTACAGTAAAGCAGCTATAAAATTACACTTCAGTCCAAAGGATAAGAATTTCACCTTCATTTCAGGCACTTGTGTTCTGGCTCCCTTCTTTTTCGTTGTAACTAATGCTACTAATTTTGGAGTAAATCTCAATTGCTCTCAGCGGGTCTGCCGAGGTTAGCTGCTGGATGTATGAAACAACAGCTGTCGTGGTACCTATGCTGGAGACCTCCTCTACAGATGACCAACTTGTGCAGCATAGACGAAAGGAGATTTCAGGATCACAGCTGGCATTGTTATTACCACTGCTGCCACTGCAGCGCCAATCTGTAAATACTGCAAACACAGTAGTTAAACCTTCAGGTGAAGTGGCCGAAGCTTTAGCCCCCCCCAAAATCACACTCAATAATCTAGTACAAATTGGCATTTTAAAACTAAATCTACAAACTAGCCTCCTACAGAAACAATTGGATTTATTGTGGGAGGTCCATACGGCTTCTTGTTCTTCCTCTTTCACACATATCTGTGTTACACCTGCTACAGTTAAGAATGCATCAGTTGGGATTTGAGGACAATCTGGCTGCAACATGTCACCCCATTGATCACCAGGGTTGATTCAGCTGATCTGGCTAGCTAGGTGGGTGTCCCCTTCCTCCCTCACCACTCCATATGCGTCCCTCCCAAAGCTTCGTGCTCAGTTGAAGAGGGTGACCGGTCAAGGGTATATGAGTAGCTGCGCTCCCCTGCTAGAACCTCCGGACAAGCTCTCAAGAATGCATCAGCTGTAGTTAGGTTTCTCCAGGGGTCCTGGAGTGATCAATTTTTAAATTATACACATGCATTAGCAGATCATTAACATCAATGAAACCCGAGTACCACCTGCAAGTGCAGAAGACCTTTTACAAGGACTTCAACTTGCCAGCAGATTAATTAGAGAATGGGCAAGCTCTCTGTCATTGGGGCTCATAGCCCCTGCCCTTGGTGCTATCTGCCTGATCTGCCAATGCCGCCACAGCATTAGACAGGCCCAGGCTAACTTTCAAACAAGACAGATTCTACTGTCATTAGCTCAAGGGAACGCCTCTGCCCAAGTATGGCTGAACTTACAAACTAATCACCAGAGACAAGTAAAGCAGAAGGGGGCAAATTTCCAAGCTAAGACAAGATACAGGCCTGGGTGACCTCTCCCATGATGGGTAAGAAATTATGCTGCCGTCCTCTGCCACGTAAGACAGGTGTTAGTTTATATTAAAAGGGGGATATCTAGGGCCCTGCATGGACACCCCGAGGCACCTTGAGCAAGTCTGAAGCTGTTGGCTGGAACGTCTTGCTCCAGAGTTGTTACTGGTACTCTTCCTGACTTGCTAACACACATCTGCTGGGGAGGAACTAAGCCCAAGAACTTGCAGGCTTGATCCTTAATTGTTTTCCACTGTTCTTTAAGTCAGTATATAAGCCCGTTCCTTCCCTTCAATAAATGGCATTTGACTGGAGCATTCCTGTTGCCTTTTATTTAAATCTCTAGGCCTTTACCTGATTAATGGAACAGATTGTAACGCAGGCGCTACATAAATGGTAAGTTTAAAAAATAAAGAAGGCATGGAAAGTTCTAGAGATGGAAGTCATGTGACTCAACATCACTGAACTGTGTACCTAAAGCAGCGGGACAGTTAGCAAATGGCAGCTCTGAGGATGGTGGGAAATGGACCTCACTGAGGGGTCTGGAGGGCAGAGGCAGGGTTGTACACCCACATGGATGCTGGCACAGGTGAAGATGAAGGAGAAAGTCTGACTGGGTTGTAGCCAGTAACAGCCTACCTGCAGTAGAGAGGCAGGGAATAGGGCATCAATGAAAGCCCAGAGGAGAGCCCCACCCAGGCTGAGGAGTTAGGGTGGGGCTCAGAGCCCAGAGCAGGAAACAGGCAACTGAGGAGAGGTAGGAAGAGGCACCAGAGAGCTTTGGGAACAGAAGAAATGGTAGGCAGGCCCAGCAGCCTTTGAGGTCTGAGTTCTCTAAGAACTAAAGAAAAGACACCGAGCTTATGGCAAGCAGGCAGCCATTCAAACCTATGAGAACATCCCCAGTAGGTTAGGTGGCTACGAGGCCCTGGTTGTCCTGGGGAATACTGAGCAGCCTTAAAGTATGTCCTCTGGGTGACAGGCCAAGGAATGAGTGAGCTTGCACAGGATTCTAGTGGTTCACAGAAAGGGTGTTAAGGATACTCATAATAAAAGCTGGGACCAGAATCCAGAGAGGTGCAGTTCTCAGTGCTAGACCACAAGCCTTGCAGGATCTGAGTACTTGGTAGTGCTGACACTCATCAGCCCTGGTTGAAGAATTAATGCTGCCCAAATGGTTAAAGAATTATGAAACCACATCTCACAATCCTTGACCTGTGTGAGACCTCTGAGTAAGACGCACACTGTGATGAGGGCCACTAAGCAGACCAGGGCTGCCTAGAACCAAACACTAGGAGCTTTGGTGTGGCCGTATGAACTAGCTGGGCCACTACTGCCTGCCTCACAGGGCTCTGCAGATGCAGCCCAGGTTCCAACAACAAAAAAGTCCTGGGACATCATGGAAAGGGAACCTTTAAAGCCATGTCACAGCTGTGGCAATGAATGTGTCCGTCAAGAACTACTGAACACAGACTTATTCGGGTGCCATTGTCTGCTAATGGGGGAGGCACACCATTGGTTCCCAGTCACAGGGAAGAGGATAAGAAACCCTGAAGGCCAACCCCCACTAATTTGATGTATGCTCTTGATCATCTGACAGGGAAGCTGGACTAATGTCAACTGTCTTTCATAAATTTCCTTGGAAGAAAAACAGACATTTTCTTCAGAGATGCTCATTTCTTGTGTTGTCACAAAGCCCTTCCCTTCCTCATCATGGTGTTCCCTCAAAGGACACCTTAGGGATGAAAATCACTGCAGAGATGCTGGTCTTGCTGCCAGCAGCATCACTTTTGGGGAATGGTACGTCACTGCACATTCCAGAGGTTCAGTCACTGAGCTACAGAAAAGCAGACTTGGGACTTGGCAAAGGGATCTCACAGATCTGCCTGGCTAGCGCCTTACCGTCCCTAGGAAGCCAGGTGGTCCAAGCCAGCAGCTGGCCAACCGCAGAGACCAAGGGCCAAGGGTGCAGAGCATCCCAAGCACCCAAGGCCATGATTCCTCCACAGGAGCCTGCAACCATCAGCCCCAAGATTGGCAAGCAACTCACTCTTTTCACAGCAAGCTTCTGACAAAAAGAACAGAACTGGCTGGAATCTAGGCAGAACCATGTTTAATAGAATCCTCTGAAAACCCATTTCAAAATAGAGAAGCTCTCCCAAACTGTAGAAGCCATAGAAATGCAAAATACTTCTTTAGGAAAAACTGAATCAAAATTACGCCTCAATTTTCAAAAGAACACACAAGGTATTTCCACTGGTCAGGCACCGAGGTGGCGAACAGCAACCACTGCTCAGCTGCAAGTCAGTTGCTCTCGATCTGCTCCAGGTCCAGGCCATCCTGGTCCAGTGGGAAGATGCCGTCCTCTCCTGCACTGTCCCAGTCACTGGGTTCCCCACTGCTCCCATCCTCTCCTATGCTGGCCTCCGGCTCTCCTGAAGCCCAGGCACTGGGACTGGTAGGACCAGGCCTGGGAATCCTTGGGCTAGAGCCAGGTGTGATGATACCCACAAGGCCCTGCGAGTTACATGGGGAGGACACAACAGTCTTCGCCTGGGTGTTGTCCTCATCATCTTCATAGTCCAGGGAACAAAGGCTCTTTGAATTTTTTAGAGTCTGCAATAGAAAAGACAAAGGCATTTTTGATACATGTGCAAGACAACATTCTGCCTGCCTATGAGGGCACTGTGTGTTCAGTGTCTAGCCTGTCCCAAATGGTCACCAAGCACCAGTTACCTTGGGCTGTTTCCTGGATCCTGTTCATCCCATCCTTGACCTCATAAGAAAGCAGGGCCACAGAGTTCCCATAGTGCACACAAGGCTGGTACTGGGAAGCCCAGCATGGACCCACCCAGACCAAATTCAGGTGTGTGAATGCCTAATACCTGGGACGTCTCAGATGACAGAGTGATGGGAGATATCATTCTGTAAATATGTTTCTCATACTGGTTAATGAATAAAGCACTGCTGGCTAATAGGAAAGCAAGAGAGGAGGGACTAGGAGACCAGGAGGAAAGAGGAAGTAGGAAGGAGGAGTCAAGAGGGAAGATGGAGAGAGAGCAGAATGCCGGCCCCTCTCTCCAGTAAGATAAGACCACGTGGAGATTAATAGAAATGGGTTAATAATTAAGACAGAGCTAGCCAATAAGAAACTAGTACCTGGCCAACAGCATTATATCAAATACAAGGTCTCTGTGCATTATTTGGGGTTGGCGTGGCAGCGGGACAAGACCAGCGGTGGGCAGAAAAACATAATCCTTACAACAGAGACCTAAATTCAACTACCAGTCTCTGGCCCAAACCAGAGTTCTCTCGCAGTTCCAATACTCCTTGCCTACTCGGAGGGTTCCTTATACTGTTGCACATGTCTCTTAGAAGTCACCCATGTCCTCAGATGCACATATGATAGGCCACACTAAGTCAACTACCTCTGACATAGCTAAGCCTCGTTTCCCTGCCACTTCCCTGGTATGACCTTGTGTTCTTCCGTGAATGCCCAGTCCCTTTCACACACCCTGCCTATGTCCTCTCTGCAGACTTTAGCAGGGTCCTTTAAACTGGCCTGACAGGCGCTAGCACACCATGCAAGTCACGCTGCCCATCAGAACACAAGCTAATCAGTGCTACAAAACAGAAAAAGCCTTCCTAAAATGCCTCTTGAATGAGATAAGAGAGACACAGAGAGGAACAAAGTAATGGAGGGTGGCTTAAACCTGCTATAGAGCTGAGACCAGCCTTGAACTTCTGATCCTCCTGCTTCCAAATGCTAAGGTTTCCTACATGTGCTACCACTCTTGGCAAAAATCTATTTTTTGACTAGAAGATCCCTACAAACAGTCCCATCACAACAGACATAAACATGTAAGCCGTAAGGGAGAACAGACCTTCTTTCTCAGAGCAATGCTTTTATAGGAATTAGGTGTCTCCACAAGACAAGCTGCATATCTTTTGTTTTTATTATCCAACTATAAAGTGACTCCCTGCTGGGCATGTGGCACTTGATTATGTGCATGGCTGTCATCCTAGTACTTAGGAGTTGGAGGACAGGAGGATCTCAATTTCTAGGCCAACTGGGAGGGTAAACAAAAAGACCCTGTCTCGAAAAACAGTAAGCCACCTTGAGAAGTAACATTGTAAAGACCAAATCCTTAAAGATGTAAGTAGGAAGATTCTGGTCACAAAAAATGAAAAGACATAATTTTTCCTCAAATCAAGATGAATTTGACTATCCACGTCACTGAACCAGCTGGAGGACCCTGTGTCAGCTTGTTTCCCCTGGCCTTGCTGTACAGTGGAAACATCCAAGTGCAGGACAGTAGACCTGGGGCGCACACCAGCAGCCAGATCGCCTGTCCTGACAAGAGACAGACACTTGTTTGTAGTCAGAAGTGTGCCCTCAGGATTTACACACTGGTCTAACACTGCTGGGCCCCACTGCCCTCTGGGGTCAGCTCAACAGGAACTCCTGTGTTCACAGAGAAATAACCGACACTTAACAAAGAACCTGACACAAAACCACCATCTCTGAGAAAACCAAACACCAGAAAGAGGCCAAAGCCTACATCTATGCTGACTTGAACTGGCACCATTCCCAAAGGTTGTCCTAAAGGGAGGACCCAGCACCTATTGCTACTCAATGATGACCTGCATCCAGGTAAACAAACCAACAGGACTGTCAAACAATAAAGAGCAGGGTGCTATACACTCCAGAAATCTTAAGTTGAGTGAAACTGACATATTCTGCTGTATCCAGTTAACACTGCAAGCCTCCTCAGCTATGGTGAACCCAGGGGGATTCTAGGAAAACCCTCCTACAACTACACTGGCTGCTTCCACAGGCATCCAAAGGTTTGCCTCTCCACCAGCACTCACCACATACTGAAGAAGCCACCTGGCAGATAAAGACACTTAAATCTGTGTTCACAAGCTCACTTCCTGCCTGCAAAACTCCTCTACAGGCCAGGGTAGAGCCAGCGTCTGAGCCAGGTAGAGTAAGCCACACCCAGAGCTATGTGTGTGTCTGCCAAGCCAAGACTCCAATATGGCCAAGAAATACCAACAGACGTTTGTACACATTCAGGAGGGCCTCCCCCAGGTATCAGGGAGGGGAAAGATCAGCCTGCCCCAAGCTACAGAGGCCTTGGCAGATGACAAAAGAGCACACAAGTGTATGTGTCCCATGTTAGTCATGGGGACTCCCTCTTACCACTCTGCAGTGTCTGCCCCCAACTCTGCTCAAGAAGAGAGGCCTATACTCAGTAAAGAGTTAATTTCAGAAGTCGTAAGGGCTTTAGGGAGAGTGGTATAGTGAGATACTCACTTTGTCTCCTTCTGTGGCACTGACCACGCCCATTTGGGGGTGGAGCCATGGGTGGAAGTGACCTGTGGAAGGAGGTCTGAGGAAGAGCCTGGAGAAAACTCTCTTGCTGGCCCGACTCAGACAGGAGAGCATCAGGTGGAAATTGCTGGTGTTAATCTGTCTAGGTTGTAAGTTATTTTTCCCTGAATAAACATCTATTCGGCCTATTTGTTTATCCTGATCTTTATTTAACCGCAATAGAGTGGGGATAGGGAGACTGAGTAAACCCCTGTGCCCAAATGCAGAGCTTCAGGCCCCGGGAGGACTCCACTCTCCAGGCAGATGTGTGTCTTCCCACACACTCAGTCTCTAAAGAAATAGCCAGAAACATAGGAGTCCCAACACCAGTCTACTCCATAAAACTTAAAGCTGAGGTGTGCACAAACAGGAGCAAATGGCAGATGCTGCAAAACACCAGAGAAAACATCTCACCTGAAGACAGATCAGAATAAACACGAGTGGAAGCAACCTGTAGGGACAGGAGCCAAAAACAATGTCAACCCTCTTCCACCAAGGGGTAAAATGTCCACAGAGCTAAGACATCCCTAGCCCTTCCAAAGAAGAATCACTGGACTGGCAGAGTGACACCAAGGAGACAGGCATGGGTATAGGGGGCTCGGATTGAAGAAAAGATAGTAAAGTCAGGATGGGAGAGTCTACAAAGGATATCCCAGAAGTGGATGCCAGTCAGCAGGCAAATGTCAGTCCAGCAGACACACAAGGTTGGTCAAGGTTCCAGGAAGTATTGAAGAATAGCCTAAAGGGGATGTAAGGGTGGTACTCCACCCTACGTACATAGGACAAATGACAAGTGACAAGCTTTTAATCCCAGCACCGGGGTCACAGAGACAAGAGGGTCCCTGGGCCTTTAGACACTTTGCCTAGCCAAACTGGTGAAGCCCATGTCTCAGAAAGAAACCTTGTTTCAATTAAACAAAAAACAAAACAAAAAAACAAAAAAAGTGGTTACTAACTAGCACAATCCAAGTATTTGCCCTATATCCACAGTTAAGTATAGTCCTCACCCCTTATCAAAAAAGCTTCTCTGTAATAGATGGAGAACCACAACCAATCAAAAACAGAGTTATGGAGCCCAGGCCCATGAACACACCTACAAAACAACTCTTTCTCCCAAGGTTCAGGAAATGTTATAGAAGAGGGAGCAGAAAGATTTTTAGAGCCTGAGGACCAAGGAGTTTGCTGTGAGACTGTGTCTCCTGTTAACTTAGAAGGCATAGAGTCTCACCAACATGACTGCCTAAACACAGGCTAAACAAGAACAACAGATATGCCTAAGTGCACCAAAGGCCTCAAACCTACACGTAGAACTATAGGAGAAAGAGACAGACAGACAGACAGACAGAGAGACAGACAGAGAGAAAGAGACAGACAGAGAGTATGCATGTAACAAAAACTAATGAAAAATAGAGGTCATGAATTTGAAGGAGAGCAAGGAGGAGTATATGGGATGGTTTAGAGGGAGGAAAGGGAACAGGGAAATGATGTAATTATGATCTCAAAAATAAAGATTTAATAAATTAAAAAATAAAGTGGATGACATTCCTGTGGACACCATCCAAGGTTGAACTTGGATTATTGCACAAATGAACATATACATCCACACATAAATACACACACAAATAAAAAGCATATACCCCCCCATACACATACACACACACAAACAAACCCACAATGCTATTCTCACCTGGCCTCCTACACTACTGGCCCTGCCCCTACAACACCATTTGTCTGCACAATTCCAGGTGTTCTAGCTAGAGCCTATTCACTACACAGGGCTCAGCACAGGCACTGCAAATGGTTTGCAATCCAGTCTCAAAGCAGTACATCATGGTGCAAATGGACTACATGGAACTCAAAGAAATTAGATGCCACAAGGCACTGCAATGTCTCCTTGCCAGCTCCTCAGGTCACCCACTTTGGAAAGATAAAGAATAGCAGAGTGTCTCACAAAGGCCAATGGTTAGGAGCCACAGGAGCGAGCTGGGAAGCAGGTCCTGCAGCTAAGCATGAGCAGGACCTTCCTGCTGAGCTTCCTATCCCATGACCTGCAGGGACAGTGAGATTGCACAGCTCAGATGCTTCCAGCTGAACTGGGCTCCCCTGCAGCCCAGCAACAGCTAACTATACCATGATGCTGACCTTTGAGTTTAAGTCACAATGGCATGTGGGGACTAAGTGGAGGCTGACTAAGAAAAGTGTTCATGCCAGCAACACAGAGAGGGTTTATGAATCCTGAAGCAGATAACTGGGGTAGGGAGAGAGAAAGGACAGTCACTGCTCAGGAGGACTGAAAAACAATGGAGCAGAGATGAGGTGGGGCCCATAAGACACCCTACCTTCACAATGAGCCCACCTATAATGTTCTAGCGTCAGCACCACCCTGGCCAGATACTTCTATCTACCTCCTACGGAGCCCAGGATGTTGACAGCATCTCCAGAGCAGGACTATCCCTGGTTATCAGTCTATCTCTGTTGTAAGCTATCCCTCTCCCCAAGAGGTACCAGGTCAAGGACTCCTCTGCTGGCATCCTCATCCTATGCTGCTGTCCTCTGGGCATACATACATGGTGATGCCACATACCACACTCATCACACTGGCTAGCAGGGGAAGCTTGGGTATCCAGAACTTGCTGCCAACTTTCCAACAGCCAACATCACAATAAAGGTACCATCACTTCCTTTCTATCATCCCTGTACAGTCACACCAGGGAGACTGAGCTTTCCACCCCCACAGGAAGAAGCTTCTGGAAAACCTAACTGTCAGGCAGAGTCAACACTCACATCAGCAGGATGTAAAATAGGCATCAGCAGGAGCCAGGCTACCTCCCACAAGACTGGCTCTGCCACACAGCCTTCTCCCAAACACAGGCAGTCTGCACTATCTGCACTGTCCCAATATGGGTTCAGCAGACACACTAAAGCAGCTCCTTTCAGGACAGCCCCGGCACCACCCACAACACCCAGAGTGTGTGTGACGAGTGTAACATGCACTCACAGCAGTGTCTACAGGAGGCAAATCAGGCCTGAAGCCCTGGGACATCTATGGGTAATGGGTGTCAGGGAATTGCCAATGCCAGTCACCAAGAGAAGAGAGGCACAACCCTGCCTCCCCCTCAGTCCTGCTTCCTGCAAGAAGTACCAAGGGGCCAAGTATTTAATCCCAGCATTCAGGAGGCAGAGGCAGGCAAGTCTCTATGACTCCAAGGCCAGGCAAGTCTGGTCTTCATAATGACTGAGTTCCAGACCAGCCAAGGCTCCTTAATGAAGCACCTGGGGTCTACTACTTCTGCTCCCCCCTAACAACCAACAGAGGGGAGGGAGAGAGCTGCTTGGCTTCACTCTAGCTCCCCCCCCCGGGGGGGGGCAGATACATCCAAGTACACATGTTCTCCTAGCCACAGTGAGGGCCCTTCTCACTGGTCTCCTGGCCTCCCATTGCTGGCAGTGGGCACCTCCCTGGGACCCAGATGAGAGCAGGCAGTGAGTGGTCTGTTACACCAGTTAAGACCCTCCCTCAAAACCAAATGCTCAGAAGGGTGGCGGTGGTACACACTTTTAATCCCAGAACTCAGGAGGCAGGTGGATCTCTGAGTTCAAGGCCAGCCTGGTCTACAGAGCAAGTTCCAGGACAGCCAGGGCTATCCAGAGAAACCCTGTCTCAAAACAAACAAACAAACAAGCAAACAAACAAACTACCCCAGAATGTGTCAGGGGACGTCCAGGGTGTGATAGCACAGCACATCTAGGTACCTGCTGGTCTCTAAATGAGGCACAGACCACCAAGTCAGCAGCTGTGGCTCCTGTAGCCATCACAAGCCAAGGGTCTGGGCCTTCAGTGGTACCAAGCTCTGCCTCAGCTTCCAGGAAAGGTTTTTGCTCTATAAATAACTGCCACCCACAAAATGTAGTCAGGGTTCCCAAGAGCTGAGGTTCCACATGTGGGGGCTCTGCCTGTGGGTTATGACTGAAGTTTTGGGGCAGCTGGGACAGGCCATCCTTCCACCAACCAAGCTATACCATGTTCCCTGACAAGCTGGCCTCACACAGCAGCATCTCAGCTCAGAAGAAAGTAGTCAAGAAAGATTAGAGGACTGCTGGCCATAGCCAACCTCACCCCAAGACTAACAAAGCGAAACACAGGCTTCCTGAGCAACCCCTGAACAAAAATGTAGCCTCACCCGCGTCATTTTCAGAAAGTCCAGGGATGGGCGTGTCCACCTGGCATCCTCCTCCCGTCTCCGCTTTCGACGGACCCTCCTCCCATCCAATACACAAGGCTGTGAGCGGCACCGCAGCAGGCCATGGTGCCGGCCTAGCTCAGGTGTGGATGTGGGGGTGCTGCTGGCTGAAGGCAGGCAGGCGCTTGGAACTACAAGGTGCTCTTGTGAGAGAGACAGTCGGCGCCTGGAGGAAAACGAGGAGGGCCCTGCAGAAAGCCAAGGTGGACCTGAGCTTGCAATGCCTTCACTGCCATCCACAAAGCCACTACTGGCTGAAGCTGGCCGCGGTGTCAGTGGTGAGGCAGGGTCCCCAGGGCCACTGCGGCACTGCAGAGTGGCGCTCCCACCACTGTTGCATCTCCTCTTAGAGACGGGAGTCCACACCTTGGAGCCACTAGGACGCCATGGGGAGCGGCATCGAGCCAGTTCCTCTGGTTCTGACAAGGACCGGCAGTGTCGCTTGGTCGGTGGTGCTGCAGGTGGCCCTGTGCTCTCACGGAGGTCCAAGAAGCTGCCCACATCCACAGGCCCTGGAGATGCCAGCTGCCATTTGAGACCTTCGGTGTGAGACACACCAAGTGAGCCCAACGGGAAGGGGCCTGAGGCTGCCTGGCTGCCAATGGGCCATCCTCCATGTAAGGCCTTCCAGGGACTCTTGTCTACTAAGGAAACACAAATGTGTGGTAAGAAAAAGATGAGCAACAGGAAGCCACACTGCTGCCTCCCTTCCCAGGTTCGTGGACACATCTGAACAAAAACACCACTGCTACACGGCTGCACCAACCACCGGATCTTCAGTGGCCACTGGCATCTGAATCACCAGGCTTCACCTGTTTCGTTTTTTCGTTTTTGAGACAGGGTCTCTCTATACAGCCCTGGTTGTCCTGAAACTCACTATGTAGACCACACTGGCCCCAAAGTCACAGATCCATCTGTTTCTGCCTCCTGAGTTCTTGGAGTAAAGGTGTGTGCCAGTAAGCCTGGCTTCCCCTGGTCTGAAGGATCTGTCTCTCGATCTGTGGTTCCTGAAAATAACCTGATTCTGATCTTACCCCCATTTCACTAATACATCCTCTAAAGCTGCGTCATCCCCTAAAGGTGGACCTTTGCCAGCCAGAAGCCAGACAAAGCTCCTTCTTAGAAACTGCCACATTTCTTAATGACCAAAGCCGACAAACAGTCTCAAATATTCTTTCCGATAGAGGCTTTTGCTGAAGCTAGGTGTAGTGGCTCATTTCTGTGACCCCAGTATTTGTGAGGCAAAGGCAGGATTGACCAGCATTTGAGTTTCACCTTTTTCTGGGATATACAGTGAAACCCTATCTCAAAACAAGACTTAGCCTGGACATCTGCCTGCTGGACATTGAACTGGGACCCCCACCCAACATCCTTAAGTCCCATTTCTTCAGCCTTACAGCAGGATGCTGGCAATGGCCCCTTGGTGGCTGATCATCTTGCAACACATCTACCTAAGATATCACAAGTACAACATAAAGAGTACTTACTTCTTCTGCCCCTTCCATCAAGCCCCTGAGGAAGATTTAGGAGTCCTTAAGACATCTGAGCTCAGACTGTAGCTCACAAGACTCAGCATCCAGGAGCCAACACAAATCTATACCCCCAGCCCAGCTCAGTGACCACATGACAGCTATACATCTGCCCAGACTAGTCCAGCTCTCCTCCGGTCAGCTCAAGCACTCAGTACAACCTGGCACCCAGACCCTGCAATGAGCTCTTCTTGCTAGCTGCAAAGGGCAGGTACCTGCTCCAGCCCTCACTCACATAAGTGCAAAGTCAGGTATGTGGGTGTCTTCATATAGAGTCAACCCAGCTGTGAGGCCCAATATCCTGTAACCTGACCAGAGGATGCTCTAGACGCTCTTAATGAGAGGGCATCCAACAGGTCACTCAGCCTTTCCCTGCTTCTTCCAATTACTGTCAAACTAAGAGACACTGGAGTAGAGGCCACAGAGACCAACAGGAAGCAGCCAGGGTCACCTCTAGGGAAAAGATACATCAAGGGCCCTGGGGTGACCTGAGATAGCAGGAGGCAAGAGAGGGGGCTGAGAGGAAAAGGGAAGACAGGAGTACATTGGAGGCCTCAGAAACTCTGAGCAGGGACTGAGACAGTTAATGTGGTCCATCCCATATGCAGGGTGGCCTGGAGGAACCAACATCAAGTGAGAGGGAAGACACACTCCCAGGTGAGATGGGGGATGGAGACTTCACATCCTACTTCCAACTCTTTAGGGAAAAGTTAGTCCATACCTCTGCTTTTGTAATCTGGTGCTCAGCAAGTAAGCTATTCCAACTGCCAAGACCAACACAGGGTGATTCCAACCCCAGGGTCTTTGCTTGGATTTATCAGAAATGTGCCCCCCACTTAGGGACCACTAAGTGTGACTGCTAAAGAGCAATGTGTCAGGAAGTAAGGGCAAGCCTAGGCAGGCCCAGGAGTGCTCCTTCAGCCAGTGTGTACCACAACAGAAAGACAGCCAGAACCACATACCACCTTGTTATTCCTCCCCAGTAGCTAAAGGAAACCACAAAGTGGGCCTTGTGTATCATATAAAGAGTAAAGCAGTCCCTAGTCTCTCCCACATCACCACCAGCAGCAAAGAGAGGCCTTGCTGAGCCTTGACCCTGACCCATCCTGCTTAGACACCAGTTCTGACTCCCAACCATGAGCAGGGAAGGTGATGGCTCATGATCTTCCTGTCCCACATGTACTTCACACAAAGGCCTCCCGAAACCTTGCCCTAATGCCTGACTCAGTCCAGCTCCAAATCCCCCTCCTGGCCAAAGGCCCAACACCATCTTACTCCATCATGAGCTACCTGGGCTTCTGAGACACTTACCGCCAATCTCCAAAGGGAACAAATGGCCACTTTTGTTCAGTTTCTCAGCAGAGTACTAAAAGTGACAAGAGAAAAGTCTCAGTGCTCATGTGAAAACTCAAGAATCCACTACAATAATGCTATTTCTCCCTAACACCTCTGCCAGTGTTAAAACAAAAAGCACTGACCTATAGACAAAATCTTTTTCTTAGTAAAAGGGTTAAGGTTTGTTTTTATATAAATATATAAAAAAATTTTACTTTCTGTATAGAGAGGTGGGTTACATATGCACTACAGTTAAATTGAGAAGCAACTTATGGGAGTCCTTTCTGTCTTTCCACGTGGGTTCCAGAATCAAACTCAGGTTATGGGGCTTGGCAACAAATGCCTTTACCTGCTGAGACATTTCACTAGTCCAATACAATTTTTTTTAATCTAACAAGATCTAGCTGAACAAATGGACATCATCCCAAGCCACTACATGCTCTGCCATATTTGCTCTTGAAATTTTGGCCTTTTCACTTTGGATAGTCTGTGCTAATGGTCTTTCACACCTCACCACCTAGTTACTTGCCAGAAAGACCCTAAGGGGCTGGAGAGACAGCTCAGCATTAGCTGCTCTTTCAGGACCTCAGTTCAGTTCCCAGCACCCACACAGAGATCATAACCATCTGTAACTCAAATTCCAGGGGGGGTCTGACGCCTTCTTCTGACCTCCTTGAGCACCAGGTACACACATTCAGGCCAAATACTACTAAACAGAAAATAAAAATAAATAAAATTTAAAAAAGACTGAGGACCTGGAGTGATGGCTCAATGGTTAAGAGCACTGCCTGCTCTTCCAGAGGACCTGGGTTCAGTTCCCATACCCAAATGGCAGCTCACAACTGTCTATGACTCCTGTTCCAAAGGATCCAATGATCTCTGGTTCCACAGGTATTGTGCAAAAGTGCACAGACATGCATGATGGCAAAACACCCTTACACACAAGGGAAAAAAAAAAAAAAAGACTAAGCCAAGACCTAAGAACCCTTTACTGCTAATGACAGTCCAAATATAGAATCCAAGCCCTAGTCTGATGGCCCCAGCCCTGAGAAGAGTCCAGACAGCAGGATAACCCCCTCTAAGAAAGCAGATAAACTAGTGGCAGTCTGCACCGGAAGAACCGCTGTTCTTTCACATAATGAGAAAGCCAGGTGCTTGGTACACATTAATAATCAGGGAGGCCAAGGCAAGAAGAATACTCCAAGTTCCAGGCCAGTTTGAGTTACTTAGCAAAACCCTGTTCAATCAATCAACCAATCAATAAGCAAGACAAGTATAGTGGCACATGCCTGTAATCGAGCACTTGAGATTTCATAGATGGAAAAAGGAGGGTCAGGAGTTTGGCAAATAGCAAGGCCAAGGCCATGTAGGCTAGGTAAAACTACATTCTCAATAAATAAATAAATAAACAGATAGATAGATAAATAAATAAATAAATAAATAAGCAAGCAAGCAAGTAAATAAATACATAAGAAGTTAAAAGTTGGGTTTATGACCCTTCAACCACAGGTAGCCTGTCCACAGATAGACAGGTATTCCTGTGCAGTGGATTATGTCTCCCCGAGCACAGTTGAATGGGAGTAGTAAACATAAGGCCAGCCTAGGCTCTGTGGGTACTGAACAACCTCAGACTAAGGTGGAAAGAGAGAAAACTGCTTTACAGATGCTCTTATGCCACTGTGCATAATTAGTTGGCTGCCCACACCCTTCAAATAGCTAGCTGAAATGCCCCCCCAGTCTTGAGCCAGCATAATGATTTCCCCTTCTACGTGACTGATAACCACTCCCCTAGCCAATAGTCCTCCTACTGAGATCCAACCACTTCCCCAGGGCAAGTACTTGCTGTTCTCATAGCCCACCTTCCTTGGGCCTGCATCCCCAGTGTGCATAAGAATACACTCATCACAATAACCCTTTCTTAATCAACAGAAATGGTTCCTGGGATAGTTGAGGAGCTGTGGGCCTGTATCTAACCAGATGTATTCAGTGCACATTCAAGGACTGGTACAGCACTGCCAGACCCTTCACAGCAGGCATCTACAAGGCGCTAGCTGTGTGAGAGGTGGGTTGAGCATGTGGACAGCTCAAGGACACGGGTGCAGACACTCAGAACAGTGGCTCTAATGCAAGAGAGCAGAGTACTGATTACATCCACTAGTAGGGACCCGCCTCTGTATTATACCACATCTTAGGGCCTTGAGACATGGCAGCTTCTGAGCCTCCTTGGGAGATATTCAAGAAAGTAGATTTGCTATGACAGCAAGCTCCCACTGAGGCAATCCAAGCCTGGCCCTGTCCAGATGGACATGACTAGGGAACATACATGGGACACCAACTGTCCATGTCACATCTATCTAAACCAGTATCACGATGAGCCTTCCAAGCTTCTTGCTTCCAGCTCAGCCACATCACACTTTCCTCTCTCCTCTTCCCCTGGCATTTAGCTCATAGCCTTTTACTCTAGCTCTACCACATCTCCTGGACCAATCTAATGTTGGTGGTCTTGGCTGGCCTTTCTCTCTGCTTCCGTTGGTCTCTTTCTTCCCATAGCTACAGGGGACTGTTACCCTGATCTGAATCATAGTCCTTCTGCTTCAAGCCCTTGGCACCTGAGTCAAATCCCCGGACCACGGTGTTTATGTCTTGGTTAGGTTTTCTATTACTGTGATAAAACGCCATGACTAAGAGCAACTTGGGAGGAAAGTTTATTTCCCTAGTCATAGTTCATGGAGAGAAGCCAAAGCAAGACTTCAATCAGGGTATGAAGCAGAAGGTAGAAACTAAAGCAGAAGCCATGGAGGAATGCTGCTTACTGGCTTGTTCTGTGCAGCTTGTTCAGCCTTCTTTCTTATACTATCCAGGACCAACAACCCAGGGTGGTACTATCCCTATTGGGCCCTCACCATCAGTCAAGAAAATGCCTATGATCTTATTGTCTCAATTAGATGTGTAGGTTTGTGTCAAGTTGGCAAAAAAAAAAAAAAAAAAAAAAAAAAAAAAACCCACCCATCCAGCACAGAATATGATCTTCACTGCCTCCTAGCCCTAAGCCAGGAAACCACTTCCTGCTCAAGTCATTGCCCACTTCCTCCAGCTACACTGGCTCCTTCTCTTCTGCCTCCCTAGAGGTAAACACTTTCCTAGCTCTGTGTTAGAAGCCTCAATGCACAACTTGAAATGCACATGTGAAATTCTAGTCCAGTGTCCCTGCTGTCTCAGAATACTCTAAGCCCAAATATATGTGACAGGCGGGCCCATCTACCTGTCAACTGTTCCTTCCTTGTTGCCCCGAAATCCCTCATTTTCCCTGCCAACAAAAAAACGTTCCCATCTTCAATGAAGACCCCCAAACCACACTCCAGATCCTCACTGTTGCTCTGGCAGCCCAGCAATACATGAGACCACTGCCTTTACCAATCCACCACCTATGGTCACAAACCATCTGTGCCTCTCCTCCCTCGAGGTAGCAGTGAGTCAGGTACAATCACTCATTTTTCCAGGTCTTTCTGAAACAGCTGTTCTATTCACTACCCTCCACATATAAAAAGGAAAGTAACAAAACTAGGTGTGCCTCAGGTACAGGGCATATAAGTTGGGAAAAGAGGAGCCCATATGACCAAAAACAGTGAACACAGACTGCAAGGATGGGAGGAGCCAGCACTGATGTGTCAGGGGAGGGCTGGAGGGTACTGGTTTATAGAAAGACCAGAGGTGCAGAATCAGGTATACACATTGTGAGTTCATAATGACAGAGCCCACGGTGGCAGACGTCAGCTTCTGTCTCAAAGAGAGCTCTAAGGCTAGGTAAGGTCCCTTGCATTCTCTAGCTCTGTTGCCCTTGTGCTTCAAAAGCTGCATCATTCTGGTGGCCCAGGTGCCACAACGGTGGCTACACAAGTTTGTCCCCACCCAGAACATGGAGACTCAAGCAGGCAACAGAACAACCGACACTAGCACCACAGCCATAGCAATGGGTGCACTGAATGTATAACGGTTTTAGTTTTATCAAATTTTACCTTTAAAACTGATATTCAGCCAGGTGGTGGTGGTGCACACCTTTAATCCCAGCACTTGGGAGGCAGAGGCAGATGGATCTTTCTGAGTTCAAGAACCAGCCTGGTCTACAGTTAGTTCTAGGAAAGGCAAGGCTACACAGAGAAATCCTGTCTTGAAAAACCAAAAAAAGAAAAAAGAAAAGTATTAATTATGTTTAGGATGCCTTGACTATGTGAATCTACATTTCTAAGTGTAAATTTTATGAAAAGTTCATTGGGAAGAATAAGTCATCCAAGTTTAGAAAGACTTCTGCCTATAGTCTGGGCATGAACACTGCCCAAAATGGACGTCGTCATCATCATACAAGACCTTAAGAAAAGAGTGCAAGAGCTGTTTGCGTACTTTCTTTGTGTTTCTGGAATCCCTAGCTGTATTCACAGTGTATCTGTGTTTGCTTCAAGTTTCATGGCACTGAAAACCAAAGACAAAACATTAAAGTACATCTGGAGTCATGCGATAAGTAGTAAGTTACAAACATAAAACATTAAAAATAAATGACCACTGGGTGTGATGGTGCATGCCTGTAGTCCTAGCACTCAGGAGGCAGAGGCAGTTGAATCTTTCTGAGTTCAAGGCCAGCCTGGTCTACACGGCTAGTTCCAGGCCAGCTATGGGTGTGCAGTGGATCCCTGTCTCAAAAAAAGGGAAAACTTATAAAATTCATTATGATTTAATAAATAAATGGCTTTATGGTTAAAAAGAAAAAAAAAAGAAAAAGAAAAGACCCATCCACCAAGCTAAAGCCGTGAAGCTGTGAATCTGTGTTGATAAATCTGAGATATCCCTACAAAGGGGTAGCAGGACCACAGGATAACTTACCCTGTCGTTTCTGGTAAGCAGGCCACAGAACTCTGTGAAGGTCAGCTTTGCATTAGAAGTTGATTTGGTTTGTGGTGATGATTATGACAGACACTGGGTTCTGTCCAACAACCCCACTCAGCTCTGTCTCCACCCTATAGTGTGCTGTCTCCATGTCTGTCTCCACACAGTGGGTAGTGCCCACCTCTGACCCCCAAGCTGACTCACCGGGCCAGCCTCATGGGCCCTTCGGGTAAGGTCATCCAAACTCTGGTTCTGCAGCTTCTCTGTGATAAGAGTGACCATGGTCGGAGCTCTTCCTTCGTCCACATCTATGGGCACTGGATTTCCAGAGCACTGGACATCGCAGCAGGCTCAAGCCATCAGGTCTGAGCTAAAACTGAGGGTTATAGCTCTGACTTAAGGATGCTGACCCACTTCCATGGACTCTTCAGGGCTGTGTCTCTGTAAAGAGAAATTGCTACATGACCATGTGTAGAATGCTTCAGTCCATATTTCTGTTACATACAACATCCTGTGTACACAAAATGTTCCTAACATCCCTCTGACAAATACCTTCCTGATTCCAAAACAACAAAGCATGTTCCTTCCTGGAACCTCGAGTAACATCTTTAAACCTCTAGTAACCTTCTAGTAACAGCTACAACATCTAGTAGTTCTCACCCTGTGGGTCACAACACCTTGGAGGGTGTCGAACAACCATTTCATAGGGTTGCCTAAGATCACTGGAAAACACAGATGTTTACATTACAATTTATAACAGTTGCTAAATTACAGTTATGAAGTAGCAATGAAAACAATGTCATAGTTGGGGTCAGTACAACATAACAAACTACACTAACTGGTTGCAGCATCAGGAATTTTGAGAAGCACTGGTTCAGATGAAGACCAAAGGGTGAGGTGCTTATTAGAACCAGCCTCCAAGGCTTCTCCTAAAGCAGCAAAAAAAGCCTATGTCAGGGAGAACACTGTAGTAAGCTACTGAATCCCACACCACAGAGGCCTGCGAGCTTTTACAGTTGAGCTCCCCAACTCCAGCCCTTGAAACTGGGGTTCTCTTCAGAAAAGATGAAGGGTGGGGTTCCAGAGGTAAGCACAGAGTGCTAGACTAGGTCCAACCTGAGGCAAGGGACCAGGTCAAGGAAGGACACAGGCTCTTCGCTTTCGATCTCAGAAGTAAGCAGCTAAGAACATGCAAGAGGCCTTGCAGCCTTTGCAGCTGTCACTGGCTCTGATTCTCAGGGTTTCATACTATGAGCAGGTGCGTCAGCCAAGGGCTACCAGCTTAGAAAGCAAAAGCAGCCAAAACAGGGTGGGAAAATTTGGCCAACTGAGATAATCAACAGGTAGGGCTGGGAGAGGAGTTCAGTAGTAAACACTTGCTAAGAGTGCAAAAAGACCTAGATTCACAGCACAGTTGTGGAATACCAATTTAGGATGTGTTACATTTGTTTATGCTGTGGAACGTTTGTTTCAATGATGCAGATGTGTTGCATTTGTTTTGTTTTTTGAGACAGGGTTTCTCTGTAGCTTTGCAGCCTGTCCTAGAACTCAATCAGTAGACCAGGTTGGCCTTGAACTCAGAGATCAGCCTGTCTCTGCCTCCTGAATGTTGGGATTAAAGGCATTCAACACCACTGTCCAGCCATGTTACATTCTTTTATGTTGCATTTGTTTAACTCTGTGAAGCTGTGTTACTTTGCCTGTTTAAAACACCTGATTGGTCTAATAAAGAACTGAACGGCCAGTAGCAAGGCAAGAGAAAGGATAGGTAGGGCTGGCAGGCAGAGAGAATAAGCAGGAGAAACCTGGATGGAGAACAAGAAAAGAAGGAGAGGAGGACTCCAGGGGCCTGCACGGGACCAGCCTAGACTCTCCACATGTGGACGACAGTTGTGTAGTTTAGTATGTTTGTGGGACCAGGATCTGTCCCTGGTGCATGAAATGGCTTTTTGGAACCTATTCGCTATGGGGAGGATGCCTCACTCAGCCTTGATGCAGAGAGGAGGAGCTTGGTCCTGCCTCAACTTGATATGCCTGCTTTGCTGACTCTCATGGGAGGCCTTACCTCTTCTGAGGATGGGAGGGGGGGGTGGATAGAAAGGAAGTAAGGGGAGGGGACAGGAGGAGAGGAGGGAGGGGAAACTGTGGTTGGTATGTAAAATAAATTTAAAAATTTCATTAAAAAAAAACAAAAAACCAATAACACAGCACTGCATTAAAAAAGAATCACGAAGGTGAAGCACCCTAGTAGTCAGCCTTGCCCTCAGTGCCCTTGACAAGGTACTGTCCAGCAACAGATCAGAACAAGCACATTACTCAAAAGGGGAATGAAGAAGAAAACAGACAGTTCCTAGAAGTTAAGTTAGCCCAACAGAACCACCTCAGGGCCTCTGCAGTATGTATCCACTACCAGGCCACCTCCTTACATCCAGTAAGGCACTCCAAGGGAAAGAATTCTTGGGAGTGTTTGCCCCAAGAGCAGAGGGTATGAGCCGCAAGATCCACACCTGATGGAAGTACCATCAGTCAGGTAGGCTCATGCTGGCAAACAAGATGCACCCAAGCCTAGGACTCTGTCAACAGAAGATGGGAACGCAATGAAGGAGAAAAATCATATGGACATTTCTACAGATACTAGAAAGATCTCAAACAAGATCAAACACCCACTTTTTATTCTTGAAAATATATACACAGCTATCAACAGAACCAGCAAACATTCCCTCTGTGACTTTGAAATATGAGGCTCAAAATCCACATGTAACTGAACAGGGCAAGGCCAGCATGTAGCAAGTGTGGGTAACAGGGCCTCGTCACCATCACCACACTGAGCACACGGGTAACAGGGCCTCGTCACCATCACCACACTGAGCACACACTGGCTAGCCTGGAGCCTGGCATGATTTGCATTAGCAGATGCGGGGAGCAGGCTGCCCAGCCCATGCTTATCTGTGAACCCATTTCAATAAAAGTTGCCAACACATGGGTGCTATTCTCAGCCAGGGATACGTGCCACACCACTCCCATACTATTCCTGAAATCTCATCCACATACCTAAAAGCACAGCACTTCGTATAGTCAGCCCCTGCAGGGTGACCACCAGCTCCAACTTATATCAGAGATGGGCAGCAGCCAGAGCAGGGCCAGCCTGCCTGCTTTTCTTTCAAATGGAGGAGACTAAATTAGAGCCAGTCAGGTCACAGGAGCAGTACTGATCCTCCATAAGCAGTACTGATCCTCCATAAGCTTTGAGAGCCAGCAGGGACATAGAGCCATAGGCAGCCTGGCCTCACTGTTCATCTACACTAAACATACCTCTCAGCCTGCCCAAACAGAACAAGGGTTTTCCATCAAGAATGATGATAACAGTGCCCATTCCTGGCCGATATGCCAGAGGGGTTCTCACATACCTTAGGACCTTTTATTTAATTTTTCAAGATTTATCTATTATATATACAGTTCCCATGCATGCATGCCTGCCTGCACACCACAAGAGAGCACTAGCTCTCATTATGGATGGTTGTGAAACACCATGTGGTTGCTGGGAATTGAACTCAGGACCTCTGGAAGAACAGCCAGTGCTCCCAACCTCTAAGCCATCTCTCCAGCCCCTTGTTACTTTTTATTTTAAGATTTATTTGTTTTTAAGGCCAAGTGGTGGTAGCACATGCCTTTAGTCCCAGCACTCAGGAGGCAGAGGCAGGTGGATGTCTGTGAGTTTGAGGCCAGCTTGGCAGAGCTAGTTCCAGGATAGGCTCCAAAGCTACAGAGAAACCCTGTTTCAGAAAGAAGAAAAAGGAAAAGAAGGAAAAAAAAAAAAAAGACTTACTTATTTTATGTGTCTGGATATTTTACCTGCATGTATGTCTGTGTACCACATGCATACTGAGGCCAGGAGAGAGTGTCAGATCCCTAGAACTGGAGTTATACACAGTTGTGAGCTGCTATGTGGTTGCTGGGAATTGAACACTGGTCCTCTGGAAGAGCAGCCAGTGCTCTTAACTACTAAGCCATCTGTTTAGCTCTCACATGCCTTATGCTAACCTCATCACAAAGCACACACATCAACCTAGAAAGGCCACAGAAATACAATGCAACTTTAAAAAATTGAACAAAACCACCAAGCGGTGGTGGTGGTAGCAGCGGTGGCGGCGGCGGCGGCGGCGGTGGCGGCAGCGAAGGACCATGCCTTTAATCCAAGCATTTGGGAGTCAGAGTTAGGCGGATCACTGTGAGTTCCAGTCCAGCCTGGTTTACAAAGTAAGTTCCAGGATAGTCAGGGCTGTTACACAGAGAAACAGTCTCAAAAAGAAAAAAAATTAACAAGATCACTAGGATTTATATTTTGAAATAAGCCACATGGTTATTGTAGAAAGAGCTGGTTCTAAAGCTGGAGCATCTGGAGTTTAGGAGGCGATACATGAGTCATGAAGGATGAAAGGCTCTTAATGGACCAGACACAGGGTCACGGGAACAATCCAATCCACAGACTGAAGTAGGAGTCCCAAATCCACACGAATGAGTCAATATCTGAGAAAAACCAGTCAACAAAAGTGAAAGTTCTTCCTTATAGCACAGTGACAACTACCAACAAGGATAGAACAACAGAAAATTTAAAACTCCACCATTTTACAATATCCTACATAACAGTTTCCAGCAAGGATCATCTCTGAATGCCAACCACATTCAAAGGTAAATAGAATATTGAGTCTCCAAGTATGTTCCCACAAAACAATTACAAAGGAATATAATGAAAGCTAGCCTCAACCACAGGATCAAAGTAACCACAGCCAGTGACATGACATAGAGATACCACAAGACTCCTGAAGAGACACTAAAGAAGTCACAACCCACTGTGGAACTCCTCACAAAAACACAAAACATCTAATTTTTCTTCAAGACAGGGTTTCTCTGTGTAGCCCTAGCTGTCCTGGAACTTGCTCTGTAGACCAGGCTGCCCTTGAACTCACAGAGATCCCTCTATCTCTGCCTCAGGAGGAAATGTCAGGGGAACCCAGTGAGGCAATCAATAAAATAACTGACAGATCGTTTAAAAGTAGTAAGTTGGGTTGGAAAGATGTCTTAGTGGTTAAGAGCACTGACTGCTCCTCCAGAGGACCAGGATTCAATTCCTAGCACTTAAATGGCAACTCAAAAAGTCTGTAACTCCAGTCCCAGAGGATCTGATATTCTCTTTTGGCCTCCACAAGCAATGCACGCACATGGTGCACAGATATATGCAGGCAAAACGCCCTACACACAAAACAAATAAAATCCCCTCCCAAATTTTTGTTTAATTTTTTTTATAATGTATCATGTTCTGTCTGCATGTATGTCTGCACACCAGAAGAGGGCACCAGATCTCATTACAGATGGTTGTGAGCACCATGTGGGATCTGGGAATTGAACTCAGGACCTCTGGAAGAGCAACCAGTGCTCCCAAC